GTAACCTGGCATACTGAGCTCTTTTGCATAACCCTTGAATTACAACTACTTTCATTGAAATCAGTGTGATAACTCATCATTTGGGCAGCCAGAGAAAAACGGTTGTAGTGTTACAGTTAGAAAAAATAATTCTGTATCTTTAAGAAAATGCATGTAGGAAAGCAGCATTATTCAAATATCACAAGGATTTCTGATATACAATGATAGTTCTCAGTCAAAATATTATTTTTATATGTCCCTCAGGGTAACCTTAGGCTGGATTTAGGAAGTGGAATTTGGGGCTGGTTTACAGTGCAGTGAAGATGGTTTAAGAAATTAGACACACTTACCACCCCTCTCTGAAGATCATCAAAATATGGACACAGATATTTTAAATTACTGATTCATCTAATATGGTAACTATTTCAAGTGAATCAAAAGGAAACGGCATCTTAATGATACAGAAAAATATCTTCATGCTAAAGATCAGATCAGTACATTCACGTGTTTTAGAATATATTTCCATGTGTTCTTGGTAGGAGCAATTTTGTAAAGTAAAAACCTTATTGTAACATTTAATTCACTATCTACTGTATTGAGATGCTATAAGCAGAGGGCATCTTAAAATTTCTCATATAGAAAATAGCAGTAGCTTCAACTCTCACAGTGCCAAGTCAATCAGACAACCACAAGTTTTTAGCAAAAACTAGTTGAAATAACATAATGATTATTCTTCTTCAAGGATACTTAAATTCTTAGAGCATGGCTACATTTGCTAAGTGTGAATTGTACCAATTAATCAAAAAATGAAAATAAAACCTATAATTAACGTTTTATTTTCATATTTGATTAAAATCGATGTAGAGTACATTTTCTGTGGGCAAAACAAGTTCCTAATTACATTATTATATCTTTTCTCCTTAGAAGTTTCCTCCATGAATTAATTCTTTTCTCTGACGAATTGTGTTGCCCTCCCTGATTACAGCAGTGAGAGCTTTGCATGGAATGATTTTTTCGCCCAGGCTTTTTTGGTGTGTTGTTCTGAATACACTCAGTTCTCAAACATATTCCAAATCAAAAATAAAACAAGCCTTATGTCACTCTCCATACCCTTCAAAGCAATCCCCATTGCCATATTCTACTTCAAAGCAAAATGTCACAAGTGTGATTTCATGGAGGCATTTTCATATCTCCTTACCTTTCCACTCATATTTTTGAATCTTTGGCCTCCACTACTCTCCTGAGATGCCCTTGCACAGATGATCTAGACCTCAGTCTTGCCCTATCCAGAGGTCAAGCATTCATTTTACTCAGCTTCTGAATACATTTAGATCCACCAACCTTTCTTTCATTCCTATAGGACCCCAACCTTTAGCTTCATCCTACAAACACAGTTTTGTTTCATTTCCAATCTCAGCAGCTGCTTCTTCTGTATCTTCTTTTTTCTCTTCTCAGATTTTGCCCTCAACTGTTAGAGGGCCCAGCTACGTGTTTTCCCCACTTACAATCTCTAGTGTCTAGCTAAACTCTCTTTAGACAGATCACTTTTGGATATATTCTTTTCTCCAATCAATCTCCATTTCATTTTCAGTCTTATTACTTCATATATATATTTCATATACATTGCAATTTTATTGAATGTCTTCAAGTTAGTACTAATATCTTTGTAGATTAATTGTCATTAGAAATTTAACAACATAAATTACATTCATGATTCTCTATACTATCCAGTCTGTTTCATTATTTTTTCTACATCTCAAAGCATGCATGGCACAAATCAGGTCATGAACTTCCTTTAACATAATCCTTCAATGTATTCCCACATTGGGATTGCTAGAGTAAACACCAGACATGCAGTTAAATTTCATTGTCATAATATTGAAGTTCAATTTGGAAATTCAGAATATTGAATTTCCCAAAGAATGCAAGGAGAATACTTGTGCTAAAATAATTTGTGTATCCGACACTCAGATTTAATGGTTGTCTTGCCTTTTTATTTGCTACATTTAGCAACCCAAAACTTAGAAAACATAGCTATCATGGTCCAATGTGTCACAGCCATGACCACAGCCATGAGCTTATCTGCTAACACCCTTCCTGTTCATTAAAATTCACAGATCTTAGTAACTTTTCAACTCTTTAAATGGACCTAGTTTTTTTCCACCATAAACTCTCTTCCCTTGAGCTTTTTAAGGAACAGCAAGAATAGCTTACGTGTCTGTTGAATTTCCTGACCTGGCTTAATCTAGAGTATAAGCTCCATTACAATAGTGATCTTGTCTACCATGTTCACTTCTCCATCCCCAGTTCTCATAATAGTGCCCAGTATACAGTTGATTCTTAATAACGTTTGATGTATGAAGAAGTCATAGATGATCAAATCAATGAAATGGAAGAGCAATTTTATATTTATTTTGAACTTCATACATTGAAATAATTTTAAATTTACTGAATGTTACCAAGATGACACAAAATTGTATTATACACATTACTTACTTAATGTCACCTACTGTGAACATCTTTCATAACCATAGTAAGTTTAGCAAACCAAAGAAATGAACTTTGTATTATACTCTTAACCATGGATTTTTATTTCATCATATTTGTTTATTAGTGTTGTTGTTGTTGTTTTGGTTTGTTTCCAGGATCCAATTCACATTGAGTATAGTTGCGTATATTTTCAGACTGCTCTAATTAGTGACAGTTCCTGTGGTTAAGCTGAATTTCATGAAGAGTCAGATATTTTGTGGAATATCCCACAATTTGGGTTTGTTTGAAATTTTCTCATACTTAGACTGAAGTTATATTTTTGGCAAGAGCCCCAGAAGAGATGTGCCTTCTTCAGTGCAACATATTAGGAGGTACATCACATCAATAAATCATTCATAATTTTAAGAATCATTTTTAAACATGTATTTCTAATAGATTGTCTTTCCTTTTCTATATATCTGCAGTTAATGGGGTTAAACTTTAGGGTATCTACCCTGGTTTTGTGTCAAATATAAAATTATGGATATATGTTTATGTGAAATATAAACCAAAGTGTAGTGTATAATATTGCTCCTCAAAAAAAAAAAAAGCAAATAAAACAGTTAGTTATTCAATGTTAAACAAGTGAATTCTTCTACAATGTCTTTCCCCCTACAAACTCTTCTTCCTTCTCTTCCCGTTTAAGTCCACACTTTTGCTCCCAAGACTGCATATATGTAGATTGATGGAGGATATTATTAAATGAAACTAATATTTTCAACAGGCAGAATATACATGGGTTATATGACCACATGATAGTAATGTAGCTTTAATTTGCAATCTGGAATAAATAAGCCACCAAATTAGGAGAAGAATCTATTATTAAAGGCATATGATTTTGTGATAGGCATCATGACACAAAAAAGAGTTGTTTTGGCTTAGATATATTAGTTGTGAGGAATTATTGAGATAGTTTTAATGCCAATTAGTTTAGAATATAAATAGAAGAGAGCCTGTGGTTTGCCCCACATACCACTCTGTTGGTATATAAGGCCCTGGGCAGACTATAAATTTAAGACTCTAGAAACTGACTCTGCCCTTCAACTGAGCCTCCTTATCTTCACATCATGAGCTTCTACAACAACTACTATGGTGGCCTGGGCTATGGCTATGGTGGCCTGGGATGTGGCTATGGATGTGGCTACGGTGGCTATGGCTATGCCTGCTACCGCCCATGCTGCTATGGAAGATACTGGTCTTCTGGCTTCTACTGAGAAGTTCTAGATGCTCATCTGTTCAGGATATTCTCTGATGAGGCACCATGCGTACCTCCTGCATTAGTTGTAAAATGGATGTTCTTGTCTGTTCAAACAGTGACTACTGAATCTTAGACTATCATGCAACATCAGACTTTTTTTGATAGAATTTCCTGAATTTCCAACAATTTAAAAAATATTCATTTAATATTTTGTTAGTGTTACATAACTGAATAAAAAATAATTAAAACTATTTTCATTTTGGAAAACGTCTAAATTCATTATTTATTAAACATAATTGGCTTTCATATTGCTACATTTTCGTGTATTGTTATCTACATTTCTTATAAATATGTGGTTTTACGTGTGTGGAATTGCTGACTCTTTCACTATCTATAGTTGATAATTTAGATGCATAGATGAATGGTTATACACAACCACTAATTTCCTAATATGTGTGTTTGGAAGCATTTCCAAGGGCTACTATTATCTACCTTGATCTATCCAAAGCCATATCTTTGGTATTTCCAAAGTTTGACTAAAGATTTGGCAAAGTCTTGTGGCTCTCTTCTCACAATTTCATGCTATTATTTTACTACCTAATTCTTTCTTGATGTTTGGCATTTGGATGTGCATCTAGACAGATGTAATTTTTTCTTCTAAATTTTATATTATTGATGATTCTTTTCCTCATTGATAGTATGTACTTGAACTCATGCATTATAGCTGCCCATGTTCTCTGGTAGTTTCTGTTGTTCTCACATTACCACAGGAAGATACAAAATTTGAGGTCTGTTTTAGTAAAATTTTGACGGAATCAATTGCTGCTTGTGTTTTGGAAAGAGATCAGTTGTGTTTTATAATCAGGCAGTGGCTTGGATAGACTAAAATCATGCAAAACCAAAGGAGGAGATCAATATGGAGGACCCTGAGCTCACCTTCCCCAGCAACACATCAAAAATACATCTACATGTGGAGCAATTCTCACTGGAAGCAAACTAGAGACTGGCAGAAACAGTCTCATACAATCAAGGCTATAAAGAATAATCCACAGGGAGTTAGGTAGGAGGGGAAATGAAGCAATTAGTTAAGGATCTGTGCTCCTAGGAGGGGACACAGAAGTGGGTGGGGTCACACAGGCTTGGCGATCCTCCCTGATGACTGAGTAGTTTGAACCACATATTGAGTACCCCAGCACTGGGGTTTGACATTGAGAAGATGAGTCCAATTGGCTGGTTTCCAAAGGGGCTGGCAGAAGGGCAGTGAGAAAATTAGACTCTGCTTGTGAAGAGTGCACACACATTTGTTTGCTTATGAAACAAGGTGAAGGAAGCAGACTGAGACTGCCTGGGACTCTGGCTTCTTTCCCATCACCACAGCAGCATGCCCCTCAGCCTATACCAAGTGACCAATCCAGTCCACCTTGCTCCATGGTGCAGCTCTCCACTAAGGCAAAGGCTGTCACTGCTGAGAAGAGTGTGCAGATTGAGGGGACAGAGCCAACTCCGAGCCGGTGCCACGTCTGAACAAGGTGGGAGTAGACACTGCTGGCACTCTCCAAGTCAGCAGATTAGGAGCAGTCTGGAACTCTGACCAGTATGCTGGTACCTCCCCAGAGTGTGCTTCTGCCCCATCCAGGTGCCTGCCCAGGTCCCAGTCCTATACCCTTCTAGGGCAAAGGTGCTGATGCTGAGAAAGAGAAGAGCATACACTTAAAGGGAAAAGATGCTGCTCAAAACCCATCCTCAGGGCTTCTACTCCAGCACCTTATAATCTGACTCTGCCTCCTAGAGGGTGGTATAGGTCAGTAAGCATAGGAGAAACCCCATCTCACACCTGGCTCTGGATCTAACTCCTTCATCTCCAGACCCACCTCCTACCAAGATGATAGCTGCTGCACATACTGAGAAAAGGTGTGACTCATACTTGCTCTATATCCAGCTCTCTTATCGAAGCCATTGGGCACACACAAACTGTATAAGGACACACTCACACAAAGACACACCTTCAAGACTTTGATAGGTAACTGTTTCACCTAATTTCATAAAGACAGAGACAATTAAGCAAAATAATAAAACAGAAGGATTTGCTTCCAATCAAAGAACATGAAAAAACCCCAGAAAATAATAAAACAGAGATAAATAATTTACCAGATATAGTTCAAAGTATTAGTAATAAGAATGCAAACTGAACTAAGGAAAATAATACCTGAACATAGTAAGAATTTTAATAAAGAACTAAAAAATATAGAAACGAGTCAACAAGAGCTGAAGAATAAAATATCTGAAATATAAAGCACACTAGAAGGGAACATCAGCAGACTAGGTGATACCGAAGCACACATAAATGATCTGGAAGATAGAATAACAGGAATCACCCAATCAGAACAACAAAAAGAAAAAAAAATTAAAAAGTGAAAATGGTCCATCAAGCATACTTCTGTATACATTAATGGGCTCCCAAAAAGAAGTTGCAGAAAATAAATTTGATAAAATTATGGCTGAAAACTACTCAAACATGAAGTAAGAAACAGTTATCCAGGTATAGCAATCACCAAGAGTCCCCAAAAGGTGAACTCAAAAAGATGCACATGAAGACATGTCATAGTTAAAAAAGCAAAAGTTAAAGATAAAGAGAGAATTCTAAGGATGGCAAGAGAAAAACAGAGTGGAACCCTGATACTGCTATTAGATGATTTTTTTTTCTGTAGATAGTTTTCAGGCCAGAAGTGAGCATCATAAGATATTCCAAGTGCTGAGGGGGAAAAATTTGAAATCTAGGATACTCTATCCAGTAAGACTATTATTCAGAA